CTCTCAAAATCATTAAAAATAGGTCAACACCTGACATCTAATAGTAAAACTTACAAGTCTCAGAGACACAGAAAAAGTCCTGAAAGCAACTCGGAACAAGAGGTCTGTAACCTACAATGATAGAAACATTGGCAACAGACCTATCCACAGAGACCTGGCAGGCTAGAAAGGACTGGCATGATCTATTTTGAGCACCAAATGAGAAAAATATGCAGCCAAGAATACTCTATCCAGCTAGGCTGTCACTGAAAATAGAAGGACAGATGATAAGCTTCCAGGACAAAAACTAAAAGAATTCACAAACACGAAACCAGCCCTGCAAGAAATATTGAAAGGGGTCCTCTAAGCAAAGAGAGAGCCTAAAAGTAACATAGACCAGAAAGGAACACAGACAATATACAGTAACAGTCACCTTACAGGCAATACAATGGCACTAAATTCCTATCTTTCAATAGTTACCCTGAATGTAAATGGGCTCAATGCCCCAATCAAAAGACACAGGCTATCAGATTGGATTAAAAAACAAGACCCATCGATATGCTGTCTGCAGGAGACTCATTTTAGACCCAAAGACACCCCCCAGATTGAAAGTGAGGGGGTGGAAAACCATTTACCATGCTCATGGACACCAAAAGAAAGCTGGGGTGGCAATCCTTATATCAGACAAATTAGATTTTAAACCAAAGACTATAATAAGAGATGAGGAAGGACACGATATCCTACTTAAAAGGTCTATCGAACAGGAAGATCTAACAATTGTAAATATCTATGCCCCTAACATGGGAGCAATTAATTATATAAGGCAATTAATAACAAAAGCAAAGAAACACATCGACAACAATACAGTAATAGTGGGGGACTTTAACACCCCCCTCACTGAAATGGACAGATCATCTAAGCAAAAGATCAACAAGGAAATAAAGACTTTAAATGACACACTGGACCAAATGGACTTCACAGACATATTCAGAACATTCCACCCCAAAGCAACGGAATACACATTCTTCTCTAGTGCCCATGGAACATTCTCCAGAATAGATCACATCCTAGGTCATAAATCAGGTCTCAACCGGTACCAAAAGATTAGTATAATTCCCTGCCTATTTTCAGACCACAATGCTTTGAAACTAGAACTCAATCACAAGAGGAAAGTCGGAAAGAACTCAAATACATGGAGGCTAAAGAGCATCCTACTAAAGAATGAATGGGTCAACCAGGAAATTAGAGAAGAATTTAAAAAATCCATGGAAACCAATGAAAATGAAAACACAACTATTCAAAATCTTTGGGATGCAGCAAAGGCGGTCCTAAGAGGAAAGTATATAGCAGTACAAGTCTTTCTTAAGAAACAAGAAAGGTCTCAAGTACACAACCTAACCCTACACCTAAAGGAGCTGGAGAAAGAACAGCAAATAAAGCCTAAACCCAGCAGGAGAAGAGAAATAATAAAGATCAGAGCAGAAATCAATGAAATAGAAACTAAAAGAACAGTAGAACAGATCAATGAAACTAGGAGCTGGTTCTTTGAAAGAATTAACAAGATTGATAAACCCTTGGCCAGACTTATCAAAAAGAAAAGAGAAATGACCCAAATAAAATCAGGAATGAAAGAGGAGAGATCACAACCAACACCAAAGAAATACAAACAATTATAAGAACATATTATGAGCAATTCTATGCCAGCAAATTAGATAACCTGGAAGAGATGGATGCATTCCTAGGCATGTATCAACTACCAAAACTGAACCAGGATGAAATAGAAAACCTGAACAGACCTATAACCACTAAGGAAACTGAAGCAGTCATCAAAAATCTCCCAACAAACAAAAGCCCAGGGCCAGATGGCTTTCCAGGGGAATTCTACCAAACATTTCAAGAAGAATTAATACCTATTCTTCTGAAACTGTTCCAAAAAATAGAAATGGAAGGAAAACTTCCAAACTCATTTTATGAGGCCACCATTACCTTGATCCCAAAACCAACAAATACCCCATCAAAAAGGAGAACTACAGACCAATATCCTTGATGAACATGGATACAAAAATTCTCACCAAAATACTAGCCAATAGGATCCAACAGTACATTAAAAGGATTATTCACCATGACCAAGTGGGATTTATCCCTGGGCTGCAAGGTTGGTTCAACATCCGCAAATCAATCAATGTGAATACAATACATTAACAAAAGAAAGAACAAGAATCATATGATCCTCTCAATAGATGCAAAAAGCATTTGACAAAGTATGGCATCCTTTCTTGATCAAAACTCTTTAGAGTATAGGCATAGAGGGTACATACCTCAATATCATAAAAGCCATCTATGAAAAACCTACAACGAATATCATTCTCAATGGGGAAAAACTGAGAGCTTTCCCCCTAAGGTCAGGAATGCGACAGAGATGTCCACTATCACCACTGCTATTCAACATAGTATTAGAAGTCCTAGCCACAGCAATCACACAACAAAAAGAAATGAAAGGCATTCGAATCGGCAAAGAAGAAGTCAAACTCTCACTCTTTGTAGATGATATGATACTTTATGTGGAAAACCGAAAAGATTCCACCCCAAAACTGCTAGAACTCATACAGGAATTCAGTAAAGTGGCAGGATATAAAATCAATGCACAGAAGTCAGTGGCATTCCTATACACCAACAACAAGACAGAAGAAAGAGAAATTAAGGAGTCGATCCCATTTACAATTGCACCCAAAACCATAAGATACCTAGGAATAAATCTAACCAAAGAGGCAAAGGATCTGTACTCAGAAAAGTGTAAAATACTCATGAAAGAAATTGAGGAAGACACAAAGAAATGGAAAAACCTTCCATGCTCGTGGATTGGAAGAACAAATATTGTGAAGATGTCAATGCTACCTAGAGCAATCTACACATTCAATGCAATCCCCATCAAAATACCATCCACTTTTTTCAAAGAAGTGGAACAAATCATCCTAAAATTTGTATGGAACCAGAAAAGACCCCAAATAGCCAGAGGAATGTTGAAAAAGAAAAGCAAAGCTGGCAGCATCACAATTCCGGACTTCCAGCTCTATAACAAAGCTGTCATCATCAAGACAGTATGGTACTGGCACAAAAACAAGCACATAGATCAATGGAACAGAATAGAGAGCCCAGAAATGGACCCTCAACTCTATGGTCAACTAATCTTTGACAAAGCAGGAAAGAATGCCCAATGGAAAAGAGTCTCTTCAACAAATGATGTTGGGAAAATTGGATAGCCACATGCAGAAGAATGAAACTGGACCATTTCCTTACACCACACACAAAAATAGACCCCAAATGGTTGAAAGACCTCAATGTGAAACAGGAGTCCATCAAAATCCTAAAGGAGAACACAGGCAGCAACCTCTTCGACCTCAGGCACAGCAACTTCTTCCTAGAAACATCGCCAAAGGCAAGGGAATCAAGGGCAAAAATGAACTATTGGGACTTCATCAAGATCAAAAGCTTTTGCAAAGCAAAGGAAACAGTCAACAAAACTAAAAGACAACTGGCAGAATGGGAGAAGATATTTGCAAATGACATATCAGATAAAGGGCTAGTATCCAAAATCTATAAAGAACTTATCAAACTCAACACCCAAAGAACAAATGATCCAATCAAAAAATGGGCAGAAGACATGAACAGACATTTCTCCAAAGAAGACATCCAAATGGCCAACAGACACATGAAAAAGTGCTCAATATCACTCAGCATCAGGGAAATCCAAATCAAAACCTCAATGAGATACCACTTCACACTAGTCAGAATGGCTAAAATTAGCAAGTCAGGAAACAGCAGATGTTGGTGGGGATGCGGAGAAAGGGGAACCCTCCTACACTGTTGGTGGGAATGCAAGCTGGTGCAACCACTCTGGAAAACAGTATGGAGGTTCCTCAAAAAGTTGAAAATAGAGCTACCATATGATCCAGCAATTGCACCACTGGGTATTTACCCCAAAGATACAAAAGTAGGGATCCGAAGGGCTATGTGCACCCCGATGTTTATAGCAGCAATGTCCACAATAGCCAAACTGTGGAAAGAGCCAAGATGTCCATCGACAGATGAATGGATAAAGAAGAGGTGGTATATATATATACAATGGAATATTATGCAGCCATCAAAAGGAATAAGATCTTGCCATTTGCAACAACATGGATGGAACTGGAGGGTATTATCCTGAGCGAAATAAGTCAAACAGAGAAAGACAGGTATCATATGACCTCATGATATGAGGAATTCTTAATCTCAGGAAACAAACTGAGGGTTGCTGGAGTAGGGGTTGGGGTAGGAGGGATGGGGTGTCTGGGTGATAGACACTGGGGAGGGTATGTGCTCTGGTAAGCGCTGTGAATTGTGCAAGATTGTTGAATCTCAGATCTGTACCTCTGAAACAAATAATGCAATATATGTTAAGGAAAAAAAAAAAAGATAGCAGGAGGGGAAGGATGAAGGGGGGGAAATCGGAGGGGTAGACGAACCATGAGAGACGATGGACTCTGAAAAACAAACTGAGGGTTCTAGAGGGGAGGGGGGTGGGAGGATGGGTTAGCCTGGTGATGGGTATTGAGGAGGGCGCGTTCTGCATGGAGCACTGGGTGTTATGCACAAACAATGAATCATGGAACACTACATCTAAAACTAATGATATGATGTATGGGAATTAACATAACAATAAGAAATTTTTTTAAAAGGATATATACAATCTCAAAGAGTTCATTAGTTAACCTGCTATTTAACATATCTCCCTCAAGATCTCTTAAATCAAATTTTTTATAATTAAAGGTCAACACTCGGAACACTTTAAAGCATTCAGATTTCATAATGGTAGAGTTAGACCTCCTCATGCTTTCCTATATGCAAAGCCCAGAAATAAACTTTGATGAAATTTCTACCCAAACTACCTTGTCTCATAATTTATCTACTTTTGACCTCTTATTTTATTGACATGTTGGCTTCACTGTTTTAAACTACATAACAATTTTGTTCTTTTCCTGCAGGCAGAGTTCACAGCCATGCGGGAGCAGTACATGCGAGGTGGGGAGGGATTCATCATCTGCTACTCTGTCACCGACCGCCAGTCATTCCAGGAAGCTGCCAAGTTTAAAGAGCTCATTTTTCAAGTCCGCCACACCTATGAAATTCCCCTGGTGCTGGTGGGTAACAAAGTTGACCTAGACCGGTTCCGCCAGGTGAGTGCCAAATTTGGTTGGTTTGTTCTTAACTCCCAGGGTACATAGTACTTGGTCAAGTCTGGCTGCTCTCCAAGGTTCGTACTGAGAATTATGAGAAAGAAATGATGCATGTGATTTTCCTGAGAAATCTTTGAAGTCCTGTGGTAGGTGTGTCAGTTGCCACTATGTATCCCATCCCACATGCTACTCTGCAGTGTCCTCACCACTCCAACAGGAAGCATAGTCTGTTTTTCCCATCTCCTTGGATCTGGGCTGGCCCTATGATTGCTTGTGGGCAGTAGTGGTTAGTAGAGGTGAGGTTATGTATACTTTCAGAGTTTGAACCATTAGAGTTCTGCAGCTTCTGCATTTGCCACTTAAAATGCTTGTTCTTGGGGCGCCTGGGTGTCTCAGTCGTTGGGCGTCTGCCTTCGGCTCAGGTCAAGATCCCAGAGTCCTGGGATCAAGCCCCGCATCGGGCTCCCTGCTCCATGGGAAGCCTGCTTCTCTCTCTCTCTCCCACTCCCCCTGTTTGTGTTCCCTCTCTCGCTGTGTCTCTCTCTGTCAAATAAATAAAATCTTTAAAAATAAATAAATAAATAAAATGCTTGTTCTTGGGATCCAGCTACCATGTAAAGACCAAACTAACCAACAGAGTTCCAGAATCAGAACAAGCCTCACTTGCTGGGTTAAGAAATGCCTTCCGTATACCATCAATCTGCTTCGAGCTGCCTCTGCTATATCATTGTGATCCTCAGTTCATTTCTCCAGACAAAATTGATGATGCAGAAACCATGGCTAGTTTCTAATAATGCAGAAACCATGGATTGTGATCCACTACCAGATTTCATGTAGTTCCTTATAGTTTATTCTTTTCCGATTAGACACTTTCAGGGCCTGATGGGCAAGCTGTGATGGCCTCATCTCCACAGGGTAATAATACTTGTCTTCCTTGTACTCCTTACTACTCTTAAAGAGATTAAATAAACAAAACCTAGTTCAGGGACCAGGAGAATCATCTCACAGTTCTGTTGCCATGACTTACTTTGTACAAAGTTAAATTACTAAGAAATTGCATGCAAATCAAATTTTTATAAATCAAATTCTCTAAATTGAATGGTATAATTCTCATTTTAGGTGCTTTATCCTTATTTGCATTGACCTTAAATTTGAGCTGGATTTTGGGCGCCTGGGTGGCTCAGTCGGTTAAGCGACTGCCTTCAGCTCAGGTCATGATCCTGGAGTCCCGGGATCGAGTCCCACATCGGGCTCCCTGCTCTGCGGGGAGCCTGCTTCTCCCTCTCCCCCTCCCCCTGCTTGTGTTCCCTCTCTCGCTGTGTCTCTCTCTGTCAAATAAATAAATAAAATCTTTAAAAAAAAAATTTGAGCTGGATTTTAATAGTTTGTATGTTTCCAGTTCATGATTTTTAGACTTAAAATAGCCTGCTAATAAATCCTTTTGCTAAGGTTAAGAATCTTCACTAAAACAGTTCTCTCCTATTTTAAGCATTTTATATATTTGGATTTTTGTATCTAATGCATCTTAAGTTTTCTTAAAGTGAGAATATCATATAGAGTCAATGCTTATAAATCTATACTTAAAACAAATATCTCTATAACTTAGTGTGGTACATTTTTGTAGTGGCATTTTTTTCTATATTTTACTTGAAAATCTAAGGATCTTAAAGTGGCAACTGAATATTTTTTAGGAGCTATAATACTTGTCTCCTCTGCACCTGTTCTCCTGCCTTCCATTGTTGTTTCCCTTTCTCCAAAGCAATGTTTAGTATGATATGGTTACGTGGCTATGAGAGAGGAATTCAAGTTTATCTCACCAGCTAAATATTAATCTATTCTGTGATACTTGACAAAAATGAAGAAGAGAAGTATAGGTCTAGTGGTGAACCTTTCAGATACTCCTCCACTTTTTTTTTTTTAAGGACTTCCGGGAAGTGACATGAGGGAGCACCCTGAGATGGAAGTATACTATCAGTGATTACATGACGGCCTTTATTGCACTTCTCAGAATTCCTAGAGAACATAAACCTTATGCCTGAATGCCAGTCATGAGCTACAAGTGGCTCTTGTAAGCTAGTGAATTTGAGAACATGAGGGAAACTTCTTCAGGCAAAAGTTAATCAGATTGTCTCTAGAATGATGGCTCTCCATGATTCCAACATTGGCTGGCATTTGCTTTCCCCTCACCATCCTGGCTCTGCTTCCCTAGGCTGAAAAGGGGTACAACGGAACCCCTGTCTTAGCCTGGGTAATTGAAGATTAGCAGTGATGAGACTCAGAAGCATCACATACATCGCCGAAACAAATAAGAAAAATGACAGTAAACTGAGTAATTTAGCAGATTTGACAGACTTTTCCTTTCAGATAAAAGCAAGTAAACAAGATAGTCACAGAAAGTGCAAAACCCATGAAAACTCAAATTACAATTTGTTTTAAAATTGCTCATGTACCAACGCCTCCACTAATGAAGTGTTGATATGCAAATTTGGCTTCTGGCTGTGGTGTTTGTGATGGGAATAATTGTTCCTATAATTGTAGAGTGGTTGTTCCTTTTCAAAATGCTTTCAGTTCACACTTTATTTTAATCCTATAGCTGCCCTGTGTAGTTGTAAGGCAAGCAGTTGATGGATGAGGATATTTGAGAAGTAAATATACTGATAGAAATTGATTTTAATAAAATAATGCTGTTAGTGACAAATTTAAGACTAAAACCCTGATCACATGTACTCTTTTTCTTATGTTAGTCTTCAAAGGTTAGGTTTCCATTTTAGGGTTTTTTTTTTTTTTTTTCCATGTAAAACAAAAAGATGCTGACACCTGCATCATCTCTAGCTCAAAGGAGTTTTGAAGAGTCCTAGAGTAAGAATGTTAAACTCTGGAAGCTTCTGAAGGAAATCATGCTGGTGCTTATGTTCAGTGCTAAGAGGCAGAGAAAGTGGGGTTTTTACTTGGTGGCTCTTCTTCCTCCTCATAGAAAGTGACTGAAAGGAAAGTGCTGATGATGACAGTTGTTTCTTGTCATGCTTATTTGGTGGAGGGGGTGACTGCCTTCTGAATCCATCTTGGTGAATCCCAAGTCCCTTTATACCAAAAAAAAAAGAAATGAGTTTTAGTGCCTGACGTCCTTCATCATTAATGACATCTTTAAGCAAAAATATTGACGGGCTGTGTTTAGAATTGAGTATTTTCTCTGAGAACAATATTCATTTTGATACTGAGGATGCATTTAGTATTGCAAGTCTCCATAGCAGGCACTTAGCACACATAATTTTACTTCATCTTCACCACAAGGCCATGAAATAGGCTCCTTTATGATCCTATTTACCTATGAGTCATCTGAAGCTTTAAAGATTCAGTGACTTGCTCAAGGTCACATAGCTAGTTAGGGCTATGAGAACATGTCCAGTGTTTCTGATTTGAAATCTCACTTTTGGCCTCCAAACCATTGTTGTTTTTCTTGATTTTTTTTATATCAGCTTCAGGATCTTAGAGTGCTCCTCAGAGGATAGAACATAAGCAATTGGATTGTATCGGAGCAGGAAGAAGCAAAATGCTAGCTCTTTGGAGGTGGAGTGAGGAGCTCCAGATGCTGGACAAGCCAGTAATAGCCAGAACTTGGGAAGAATCTGAAGAAAAGTAAGGACAAGGAAATGATGCTCAAAATTACTGAAAGGCACTGTTTTATGATCAGTAGCACAATTTTATCCAGAGTCCATCCAGACTATTATAAAGCCCTTTTTTAGATTCCCAGACTACTTTAGGTCCCTGAGCTTGCATGGTCTTTGTCCCTACTATGACTTCGGCTATCACACTGGGGAGTGGAAGGCAATAATTTCTGCTTTTTTTGTTTTTGCAAAACCCTGACCAACTGTGCAAGGTAAAAATGGTGTTATGAATGGAGTGAGTTCCAAGGATCTGGGAGCTGGTTTAGAAAAGTTTTACATCAGTCGCAGACCACAAACTGTTTTATCCTGAAGATAGACCATGACAACCCTTTCAGGGCTGACAATCTAATTGCAGTTTAATATTCAGTTTGAAGCCTTGAAGCTCTGCTTTCCACAGCCTTACTAACTCTGTGAATGCAGATCTGGGATCATGAAATACTCCTTGTTTCTTCTTCAGTGATCTATCTATCTAATGAAAATGGTTCAATTCCTTTACTGAGAGGGGGCCTATAAAAGCTGCAGAGATCAGAAATTGCTGTGTTAAGAAAAATAACATCTAGAGTTCTGCCAAGCATCTACTTATCTTTATAGAGCGGTGGCAGCTTTGCGGCACAGTAGAGGAATGAGCAACCCAATCTTTGTTCTCAGGGACTTTCTCTTCTCAGAAGGGATCTATGCATGTGATGTAGAACATTATATTAAACAACAGAACTAAATATTGAACAGTATGACACCACGCATAAGTGCAGTTGTTGCTGAAAACCAGGAAAATCAATGTGGGCAGCATTTTTGAGGAAGGAAGATGCAGAATGGAGAAGCATCCTGACCAGGTAGGAAGGAGCAGGTGAATGATGACAATTCTTTAGGGAAGGGCCGACAAGAGTAGATAGAGGAGGAAATGAATGGTGGGACTGTGAGTATGCACAAGCCATGGAGTGTTGAGGAGGAGGAGTTGGGAAGACCAGCCTGTCTGGAACATACATATCAAGTAGCCTCAGAATAATTTCATAGATAAGGCCTGCCTTGAAGACACACTTTGTCAAACACAAAGCATAAATATGTACCAGAGTGTCTTGGATATGCTGTAATTGCAAATACCACTCAAATTTTAAAAAGTGAAAAACAAAAGAGTAGTAATTCATCTTTTATCAGTACATTAGATAATCCATATCAACACATTTTCCCAATGACGAGAGTTTATATTTTTTATAGGAAAAGAGTTGTGGCAATTTATGCAATATTATAGGGATACACATTTAAATTTAACAATTTTATAACCCTATTTATCCTTTTCCATAACATTGGCTTTATCTATTTCATTTCATTAAAAATGCC